CTCATAGTTTTTGTCTTTCTGTATTTTCAATATATCATTACACTCTCTCCTAGCCTGCAGGGTTTCTGCCAAGAAATCCACTGAATGCCTGATGGATGTTCCTTTGTAAGTTATTTTCTTCTCTCTAGCCGCCCTTAATATTTTTTCCTTGTCATTGACTTTTGACCATTTTAATATTGTATACCTTGGAGAATGTCTTTTTGCACTGAGGTAACGAGTAGTCCTTCTGGCTTCATGCAGTTGCATGTCCAATTATTTTCCCAGATTTGAGAAGTTCTTAGCTATTATTTCTTTGAATAAGCTCTCTGCACCTTTCTCCCTTTCTTCTCCTTTGGGATATTTATTACTCTTATGTTAGTTTTCCTAATTGAGTCAGATATTTCTCATAGAATTTCTTCATTGAAAAATAAATCTTAGTTCTCTCTCTTCCTCCACCTGAATCTTTTCTAGATTTCCATCTTTGAGCTCAATAATTCTCTCTTCCACATGGTCTGCTCTATTTTTAATGCTTTATACATTATTTTTTTTTATCTTATTAATTGTGTTCTTCATCTTCAAAATTTCTGTTTGGTTTTTTTTTAGAGTTTCAATCTCATTAGTGAAGTACTCCTTCTGTACATTCATTTTATTCCTGAGCTTATGAACTATCTTTCTGAGTTTTCATGTAACTTGTTGAGTTCTTCATTACAGCTATTTTGAATTCTCTGTCAGTTAGACTGTAATCTTCTGTGACTTCAAGTTTGGTTTCTGAAGAGTTGTCATTCTCTTTCTGTTCTGCCATGTTACTGTTGCTCTTCATGGTGTTTGATGAATCGATCCTCTGCTGGCACATTTGTGGTAATAACCACCTTCCCTATTTGGGTGCTGCTTTGGTTACTTTGGTGCTGAGCTGCTTCTGGTTGTATTTGAGAGCCTGCAGTTTCCACCCTCCATTGCCTCTGCTAGAGGTGTTGTCAGCGTCCTCATTTTGCCCCTTGTGCCTCTGAGGTTGCTGGTGCTTTGTCGCATATGATGTCCCTGCAGTCTCAGGTGTTACTGCCGGGGTCACCAGGCTGTGAGCACTTCTGCTGCTTCCAGGGTTGCCTGGGTCTCATGTTCCTCCACTGGCTCTCCATGAGCTCTCCATGGGCTCACGGCTGCGGCCCCGTGCACCACCTGCACTGCTGCTCCTGGGTTGTCTGAGCATGCTGGTTGCACTGCTCCCAGGGGAGCTGGGTTCATGGGTGTCACTGTCACTCCTAGGGGCCCAGGGACCTGGGGTCTTTTATATAGCTCCCTCTGCTGGTGGAGCCAGTGTTGGGGATGCCACCACTTTGGGCTGGGTCATGGGTTCTTCTGTGTTTTCTGAAGTCTCAGTTCACAGATGCCATCTACCACTTCTGGGGGAAGGGCAGGCGTTAAGCCACAAATATTGTTGCTAGTCCTGAAGCCTCTGGTCACTGCCACACTCTGGTGTGCTTTTTGAGACCTCAGGTCAGGGCACCTTGCTCCTGCTGTGGAAATCCACATCCCCACTGCTGGAAAGACCAGCACCACTGCCAGGGGAGGAGGATGCTGGGTTGCCGACACTGCTCTCTGTCCTGAAGCCTTAGGACATGTGTGCCGCCTGCCACTGCTGGGGGCCAGGGCCAAGCAGCAAGTGAACATTGCTGCTGTTTGTGCAGCCTCTAGTCACTGGCACATGCTGTTGTGCTTTCAAATCTCAAGTCAGGGCACCCCACCCTTGCCAGGGAAATTCATGCCTTGGGAGTTGTCCCCACTGCTGGAAAGATCAGTGCCACTGCCAGGGGAGGGGAGCAGGTTGCGTCACCAGCTCCAATCTGTCTCCTGAATCCACTGAACATGTGCAGCACCCAGCACTGCTGGGGGTGAACAGGGGCCAAGTCATGAGTGCCATGTTTGCCCTTGCAGCCTGTGGTCGCTGGCATGTGCACTGGTGTGAAGATCTGCATTTTGGATCACCACTGCCGGGGGAGGGGGAGGGTGCTGCTCTCCTTGTTCCACTGCCTCCTGGAGGTACAGTCCACCCACCTTCAGGTGTGTAGATGCATGGATTACTCAGTTGTTGTGCTTTACTCACAGGGAGTCCTTTGTTGGTCAATACATGTCTGACTGGTTGTAACTTAGAGGGGAGAGACAAAGGGAACAATTCACTCTGCCATAATTCTGATGTCACTCCTGGGCCTGAACTTTTGCATCATCTGTTCTAGACACATTGTCTCATTTGAACCTCACAAAAGTGCAGAGAAATAGATATTTTCATCTCCATTTTAAAGATGAGGAAACTGAGGCTCTGAGAAGTACCTAAGAACACATTACTAGGAATGGAAGAGCTGGAATTAGAACCTGATCTTTCTGATTTTAACATGTCTTTTTCTTCACTTTCATCCTCCTGATAATTTGATTGATTGCACATGGATCTTTTTAAAACTTTAATAAACTTGTTAATATTAATTTGCACTAGCCCTTCCATCCATCCCCACTGTCATTACAATAATCACGGGTCTAATGTTGCCTCTTAGCGGCTTATGGTGATCATCTTAAAACATGTCTGCTTCATTGACATTGCTCCCCTGACCCACCCACATTTCTGCTTATACATTTATCTTCTTAAGCACAGATCTGATCATGTCACTTTCCTCCCTAAAACTTTCAGGAAGTCCTCATAATTTATTCTTTTGAAAAAATATTTATTTGAAAATATGGCAAAAAGTAAAAATTCTCTACATTCCACTTTCTTAAAAATTAAGTATTAACTTCAGATGTCTCCTACCCCATTCCCATTCCAAGTTATTCTATCCAATGGACACAATTAATCTCCTAATTTTTCTTTCTACTCACATCTCTATAGATGCTTTTTAATTTAAATTTTAATATACTTGGAACCTATTTTATATGATATGATGTAGAGAGCTATTTTTGTTTTCCCAACAGATAATCAATAGTCCAAAGCCATTTTTAAAGTAATCTATCATTTCCCTATGACTTAAAAATGCCACGTCATATTTTAATGTTGACTTATACTTTTTGCATTTTTCTGGAGGATTTCTGTTTTACTTTGTTTCATTATTCTTTTTTTTTTTTTTTTTTAAAAAGTTATTATTATTTTTTTATAATTTTTTTTTTCCCCCAAAACCCCAGTAGATAGTTGTATGTCACAGCTGCACATCCTTCTAGTTAGTGTATGTGGGGCACGGCCTCAGCATGGCCGGAGAAGCGGTACATCGGTGCACGCCCAGGATCCGAACCCAGGCCGCCAACAGCGGAGCGCGCGCACTTAACTGCTAAGCCACGGGGCCGGCCCTGTTTCATTATTCTTACACTATTGTTGTATTATGTCAGGAGCTCTGTAATAAGTGCTAAGATCTACTATGTAAATTGTCTATTCACTATTATTTTTCAAAAAATTATTTTTTAGTTATCTCATTTGTATTCTTCCTATTAGAATTTAAAAGCAACTTATGTAGCCCACCCCCAACCGTACACCATAGAACCAAAAACAAAATGTTGTCATAATTCTGATTGAAATTGCAGTCAATACATATACATGAATTTAGGAAGGATTAGCATCTATATGATACTGAGCATTTCCTTCACAAAAATGATATGTTTCTCCACTTATTTGGGTTTTATTTTATGCCCGTTAGTAAATCTTATACTGTTTTCTACATATAGTTCTTATATTTTAAAAGATTTTATAACTATTTATTTACTTTTTTGCATTATATTACTTAAATCCTTCATGGATCTTGAAATATTGACAACTCCTAAATTGCCTGATAATTCTGCTCATGGTCTTGGGATAAGGAAAAACAAATGACCAGGTATCAGAACAGGGTTGAGTAGGCATTATTCACGTCTCCAATAGGTACAAAGGATATTTGACAGCTCTGAGTAGTAATAACTTAGAATTCTCAAGAAATCCCTTTTCAAACATAATTTTCATTCAGCCCTCTTGTACTCTTCCATTGTGTTGGTGGCTGTGAGTTGCTGTGAAGGGACAGTTGCTCACCGTGACTGCCTGATACCTTCATTCTCATGGGCAGAGGCAATGTTTGCTTGTGGGACTTAGGCTGGGACAGGGTGGATCTGAAGCCGACGTGGGGATCATCAGGACCTGTCTTCTCTGGGTCCTGGCAGATGGACAACTCATCTGTACTCAGAGGAGCACTTAGCTGCTTCTGGCAATTCTTTCTCGTCCTGACCCAAGATTACAGATTAATAAGAATACAGATTGATTTTAACAATAAGATTACAGAATAGCTTCCAAGAGGCTTTTCCTTTCAACATATCAGAGAACTAGATTTTGTTTTCAAATTTTAGTTTAAATAAGGAATCTATTATTAGGAGATAGAATTCTATAAATTTCTTCTTTTATTTCAGGAAAACTAATGTCATCACAGAAATTATTTTCTCTTTTGGCATTGCCTGGTAAAGAATCACATTGCCAAATGGTAGAAGTGGCTTTGTTACAAATGGAGAACTTTGTTTACATGTCTCAAGTATATTTGTGTTAGCATATTTGCATTTTCAGTTACTTAAGAGTTTCCTCTTTTCAGAAATACATTCACAAATTGCTAACGGAGCAGCCCTGGTGTTTGTGAGAACAAAAGGGCCTTTCCTTTGATGCAATCTCTGAGCAGTTTCAACACAACTGAACACCTGGAAATAAAAATGTCTTAGCTCTCTGAATGTTTTTCCTAGTAATTTAGAAGGTAGTTGGTTGACCAGTTGGGTCTGATCTTTTCTTTTTCTGCTCTTATTCTTTCTGTTTTCTATCTGCACTTTTCAATGATTATTGCCTTGGTGGAAAACAGATGTCTAGGTCAATTTATTTGAGGAAAAGTAATAAAATGTCAGATATCACGAAACCTGTATTCAAGGACTTCCAAAGGAACCCAGAAGGTCAAGTTGCCAGTACAAGGTTATTTAACCAGTAGTCACATCATAAAGCTTAGGAGGAGGCTGAATTTTTGTAGAAGGTGTAACCAGTGTGATAGCTCCGGCTGGATCAAGATATTCGGAGAAGGGACTAAGCTCATAGTAACTCCCTCTGGTAAGTAACTTTTTTCAATTTTTACTCTAGTAATGAAAAACTGATAAAAGATTTTTAGAGAAAACAATCTAGGATCACCATTGTCTGACTGCCACATACTTGGCCTCAACATATGAAGAGTAATTTTGCAGCTATTGGTCATTGTACATGAAAACAAAACTACTTCATAAGTTGTTTGTTCACTTCCCTGCTTATAAGCAGATTGACTTCTACTTTTAGAGTACACACACAAAAATGATAAACTCAGGCTAGAAATTAAGATATTTTGAGGACCATGTCTGTAAACCACAGGTATAAGTTATTTGTTAAAGATACTTTTCTTGTAGACTTTCTGAAGTGAGAGATACTTTTATTAATTACCTCTTCTTTATATTTTGAGATAAAACATAGTGCTCCTTTCTCCCACTAACCTGCAAAACCTATATTATTGGTTTTCATCTCATCCCTAACAGCAGTGCAAAAATTACTTCTTATAGTAAATGGCTATAAAACATTAATAAATCCCATTTCTTATTAACCTAGCTTCTTAGAGGTAGGCTGAGATCAGTCAAAATTTATGGTATCAACTCTTGTTGTGTTACCTAGAGATGGGCCAGCTTAATGGAATTTGTAAGCTCAATAAGCCGTTTCAGCTCCAAAGTCCATGAAAAGAGTCTGCGTGGTTTTACATCCTCATTTGCTCGTTTATTTTGTCAGCAATCATTCACTGAGGACAGTTTCTGTACTGGATGCTGGAGATAAAAGGAGGAACAAGACACAGAGAGAACAAGTCCCAACATTTCCAAAGCTTCTAGTCTAGTGGATAAGTGTTCTCTAGTCTGGCTTGATTGGGCCCCATGTTCTTTGGTCTGTGGCTGCCAGAGAGGCAAGAGGTCTTGGATTTATGAGCTCATTTCCTTTCTTAATTTAAGTAATAGTTATTGCTAATAAAATACATATATTTTGTTTGGTGGAAGAATTTGTTAAAATGGCCCCTAACCATCCCATTAAAGAGCGTAATAATATTAGCTAATATTTACTGAAGGCCAGACACAGTGCTAAATAGTTTCAGTGCTTTATCTCATTCCTCAACAGCCCTATACAGAAGATCCTCTTAGGAAACTGAGGTTTAGAAAAGTTCAGTTACTTATCTAAAGGCACTTGTCTAGTTACTGTGTCAAAGTTTGGGATCCAACAGAGACTTGTCTATTACAAAGTGCATTGTCTGGACTTTTATGTGATGTTAGAAACACTGTCATTTTTTGTGTGTGTGTGTGTGAGGAAGATTAGCCATGAGCTAACATCCGATGCCAATCCTCCTCTTTTTGCTGAGAAAGATTGGCCCTGGGCTAACATCCGTGCCCATCTTACTCTACTTTACATGCAATGCAGCCACAGCATGGCTTGACAAGCAGTGCATCTGTGCACGCCAGAGATCGGAACCTGTGAACCCGGGGCAGCTGCAGCGGAGCACATGCACTTAACCGCTGCACCACGGGGCTGGCCCCTTAAGTCATATTTTTAAACTCTGAATATTTACTCTTCTGTAGCCTGACCTTTTAAGTGGACTCTTTAATTGACTACTTAATTAGTAACTGCTCACAATTTGTATTACTACTCATGTGTGAAAACAATGCTTCTGCTTCTAATCATGGCACTTAAACTGCCTCTCTCCTCTCCAAAAAAGATCATGTAAATCATATTGAATCTGCATTTACTAAATACTCAGAATATGATTCTTAGGGTATCTTGATAGAATGACAAGTCATTTTGACACCATTCCACTCAGTTTTCTTTCTGTATTGGCATCAAATTTGCTAGAAATATTGAAGCTGGTAAAAGAATCATAGCAGGTGTAATAAATCACATTACTAACTCGCATAATTCACAGCTGCCTTTCCACTTATGATGAGACAGCTGCAGAAATACCAAACCGAATAGGATCTTCTGATGAGCAGCACAGGATTTTAATTCAATGTCCTGGAAACCATAAATTATTTTCAGGTCAAAAGGAGCAGTCTTTCAGCAAGCAATAGTGTGAAAGATCATCATTAAGAATTCACTTTCTGTAATAACTCATCTGGTCTACTATTAATGGAAATTGAATTCTGAAAAAAAGTTACTTTAGAATCAATCCAGAAACCCACATTTCAATACATTTAATCAGAAAATACCTGTAAAACATATTGAATATGCACTTATTAAATAGTTAAATATGTTATTTCTGTTATTGTTCCTCTTTGGAAATTAAAGAAACATTAACTCTACGCTCTAGGCAAAGAACTGACTTTATACATGAAAATAGTTTAAGGAAGGAGATTTAGAAGATTCAGGCAAAATGATGAGAAAAGATAAAATCATACTCTCCAATGTATGTGTGGTGAGACGAGAAAAGACATATCCCAAGCTGCCCAGGCAGACGGGGTCAGTTCTTCAATTCCTGACTATGTTCATGTCTAATGTGATTTTGCTTGAGTTTCATCTTTGTTAAATGTTAGCAGGGCCAATCTTTATATATTTATATAAATATGGAAAAAATATGAGTACAATTTTAAAACAGGCACAAAGGGAGATTCCTGTAAAGGCTTTTCTGATAGTGGGCAGAAGGATGGCAGGAGAATCAAAGTGTTTGGCCCTGGCAAACAGATCATTGTTAGAGGTAAATTTTCTTTAAATTCTGTGGTGTAAGTTGGGGAGGGGAGGCAGGTGACACAGGTGCTGCAGGTTAGAGTGCTGGTGCTGGCTCAGAATTCATGGATTCCATCCCAGTTTTGTCATGAATCAGAATGGGATCTCTGGAGAGGTTGGTGACTCCATCCGGGTCCTTGGAGGCAGTCCTCTGCCTGACCTAGCACAGAGGACACTAACAAGGAGTTGACTAGTTAGAGCAACTGTGGGTCCCTAAGGGCTGGAGACTTTAGGTCCATTTGGTATTTCTGGCTTGAAAGATTTGTAAAGAAGTGTAGATATTTTACTTATCTGATTCCAAAAATAATCAATGGAAAAAATGAACAAAAATTGCTACACTTGCCATTTGGTCAGAAGATGATTCATAGTAAGTATCAAAATATTTAACTGCAGGACCATATTCAAGAATGTCATAAGCTGGGTTTATTTTTTTCTAAATTCAGTCCAGTAAATTTTTTCAATCCTCATTAGCCTTAAAGGTGAAATTTTGCCTGATTGAAGGAGGACATCTTACAAGGATGTTCCTAGCCTACTAGATCCACTGAAATGCAAGTTTTTAGAGAATTTTCACAAAGTGGATAAAGTACTGAAAAAATGAAGGAAATTTTATATTTTGATTTCCCTAGTGGTTGTGATCATATGAACAAAGAATTCGTAAGTTGAAAAGCAACTTTCTGGTCTTCTCTTTTGGAACTGACTGCATACTCAATGTACATTGTAGCAATCAAATTAAACAATGGTGACACAGATACAATTCCCGAGGGTCCTGAAAAATGTTTTTTAGGAGAATGTGGTGCAGGGAAAAATATGGACTTTGATTCTGGGTCTATCGCTTTTGGTATAATCATCCTTTAGCAAATAAATTGTGATTTACTTGTTGTTGCTTTATTAAAATTATAAATAATATATGCTCATTGTGGAAAAAATCGGAAAATACAAAAAATAAAGAAAAAAATTAAAATTTTATATTGACAGGTATCACTGTTAACAGTTTGATATATTTCCATCCTTTCATTCTATCGAAGCAACGGTCATCTCAAATTGAATGTTTTGAGGATTAAATGAAATTAAATATGGAAATTACCTACCATAAAGCTTGGGACAAGCTTGAGACACTAGGTGAGAAAAATGTTGATTCCTTCTCCAGAATTCGAATTACTATGCATTGGAATTCTTTATGAAATCAGGAGTACAGATAAACGTATTACTTACCATCTAGGCTGCAGGTAACATTAGAACAAATAATCAGTAATTGGAAAAAACTTTCAATTTCTAAGACTAATTGTTACCTGCTTCTGTAAATGATTAGAATATAATAAGCATTATCTCAAATATGATTAGCCCGAATATAAGGTGATCTCTCATTTTCCAGTAGAAATATCTGGCAGTAAAATAAGTTTTTTTTTTTTTTTTCCTACTTGAACATATAAACATATAGGAATAAAGATCAAAGTCAAATGTACATTTATAACATTTAATTTCTTACTTGGATTATACCTACACAATTAAAAACTATATCAATAGAAATATCAGTTGAGAAATATTGCTTTTTCTGCCCTTACATTTTGTTAAAAATTTTGTTCAGACTCTTCATATGCATCTGAAACATCTACCTTAGAGCAAATTTCTAGGTCATCTTAGGGTCTGAGTGTCTGTTTTGTGATCCCCATAGGATGATGTCACTGGATATTTTATCTAAAGAGACAATTATCCTTTTATAAAATGAAAGGAAAGCATTTTTTTCATTACTCTGTTATCCTATAAATGTGCAACATAAGCATAAACTGTAGAAATTTTAGTCCCAAGTAATATTACCAAATCCATGTTAAATTTCTTCATTTTCTTTCACCACTGCTAGCTCCAAAACTAGCATTAATTGAGTTCATTTCAGGTGAGATCTTGTCCAAACAGTATTTTTTGATCACAGCAGAGTATTAGAAGAGCAACTTTTAATATGAGAGGTTGCACAAGGACTGACACATAAGGCGACCCCCGTTTTCTGAGGGATAATTTTGGGAAAGAAAGCCTCACTTTATGTTCTGGCACTTTCAGTCTGTTTGAATTCTCCATGTTTCGTGTCAATATCACAGAGCTAGGATTTGAAAACATATTCTCCCATCTGTCATGTCATATTTGAGTTAGACCTCACTAATAATCAACCTCTGGGGCAGAAGAAGAAACAAGTTATAATGCACAAACTCTTTGTCATTTATTTAAACTACCTATTTCCAAAACCTATTTGAGAAGACATAAAATCAAATACACAAGTATAATTAGACCATGAAATAAAAATAGAAGATCAAAACCACTAAGGAAAGCAGACTAAAAATCGCCTGTGATTATCTAGCAAGGTATGCTCAAAGGTAGGAGAAAAAATGTAGTGGAATTCATACTTTTCATTAACTGATGAAATGAAGCACAGTAAAATTTCAAATAGGACATGTTTTTCCCACCATCAAATTAGAAAAGGACTTCAGTGCATGAGTCCTTTAGGAGGAAAGTGAGGTACAAGAGTGGACACTGCCTTTAACATCCATTTTACAGAATGGAAGAAATGGTCTTTCAGCAAACCCATTTTATCCCCCCACTGCATCAAGGCTATGGGCATCATAACATTGAGTGTCCTCCACAGATGGTGACCCTCAGCAGCTATGGTCAGGCAGGTGACAGTTAGTGTCTAACGTGTCAATAGGAGGATTTGAGGACAGGCATCCTGCCATCTCTCTAGTCAGTTGGCTTGAAGGCCCGCTGCCAGGAGTTTCAAACAGAACTTTCCACATGAGCTGGAAAGATGTCAGTTTGAGGCTGAAATTTCTGGTGAAAACTTAGAATGCAAATAGATTGTGCTGTTGATTAGAGAAAAGAGCCATTTGTTTTGGACAACACGAGGGAAGCAGTTCCATATACTGACTGCATGTTATTAGGTTTTAGTCAGTGTTCCCTTCGATTTTCTTAACACTGTGAATGCAGTGGATAAGACAAAACAATGATTTCATATTAATTGGGTTGTGAAAGACACTTTTCCTCTGATGATGGCTTTGAGAATTCCAGGCATATTAGAGCAAAGTGGAATGCAAATGAAGGAACAAGTCTTCACGCTTAATTGCCAGGGATCTAATTGCAACCTCAAAATACTAAATTCCTATTAGTAAGGGCGATGTGGGGTCCCATTAGATTAAAATGTCATTTGGAGCATGCAATCACCACAAACAAATTGTTAATAATAATGATAATGATAATAATGACCATAATAATAATGATAATCTCTATTCTTACAGAGTTTTATATCAAATCACTCTTCAGATCTTGTTTCATTTTGGTCTCACTTCAGCTCTGGTAGGGATCTTGAATTGATTTACAGAAACATCATTGTTTTCAAACAAATAAAGCAACAAAGCCTTTCATTTACTTGATTTCTCAGCCACAGAACTTGTTGTGAGCAAAAGGCACCAGGACCAGAACCATGGTCTCTTGAGTCACAGGCCACCATAGTTCCCTAGAACGTGAAGAATTCAGAGAAGCTAAGTTATTCTAAAGTTTTTGATATGAGTTTATCACTGTGGAATTATAACACAGAACTCCTCAGTGATGGAACAAAACTTGTCCTCACAGGTAGGTATCAGAAGAACGTGATTTTTCAAGGTAATAGAGGGAAGGCAAGAAGCAATTAAATTGAAATAATAGGAATGTTTGGAAAAAACAGGAATATGATGGAGATTGAATGTAGAAATCTTAGGATAGGTCTTAAAACAAATACTTATAGTATAGGACAGCATAGACAACATTGTGCAAATATTGGAATAGGATTTAGCTTTGTGTACGTGAGGACTTAACATAAAGCATCAAGTATAACATAAATAATTATCATGAAAGTGTTTGGCCTGTGGACAAAGTTTATGATTACAGGTAAGTTTTGCGAGTTGACACATTTCCTTTCTAATGGTGAGAGGGTATTGTCAAAGAGCCTGGGCTTTGGAGTCAGGCTGACCTGGATCCACCTCTTATGTCCTGCTTATGTGAACTTGGGCGATTATTCTCTGGCCTCAGTTTCCTAATCCATAAATTGGTATGACAGTATGTATCCAGCAGGGGTTGTATGTGAATTGAATGAAATAGTGTGAATAAAGTAGTTGGCACATTGTGTAACACATAATAGGTGCTGGATACATGTTCCCCCAATTCAAATGTAAAGAGAGAACTGTATCCAGTATGGAGAGTTGTTCGCCGCCAATAATATGTATATATTTTTTATTGGAGTAACGTTGGTTTATAACATTATATACATTTCAAGCGTAAATTGTTAAATTTCAATTTCTGTGTAGACCACATCATGTTCACCAGCCAAAAACTAATTCTCATCCATCATCGTGCATATGTGCTATGTTACCCCTTTTTTACCACAGTATTATTGCAGCCAATAACATAGACAGAGCAGAAATTGTCTAGAGGATTTAACTGTACTTCTAACTGTTCAAATGGAAAATTATCTTACTGTCTACTAACACAAAACAATTAAATTTGGAGGTATGTGTTTCTCTTAACAGAATTTTCCCTCAGGAAGAAAAATGCAATTAAAATGTGTTTATTTTTGTTGTCATTGTATGTGCTTTAAATCTTAATCCTTTATCTTAATTGATATCATTTCTAACACCAAAATGTATTGGCCTCAAAATTTATAGCCAATACGTTTAGATTTCATGAACATATTTATCAGAAAAAAAATTTAATTAATTTAACTGATTCCTTTTAATTGCTGTTCCATTTTCCCCCACAGATAGCAGCCTTCCTACAGACATTTCCCCCAAGCCCACTATTTTTCTTCCTTCAATTGCTGAAGTAAACCTCCATAATGCTGGAACATATCTTTGTCTTCTTGAGAAGTTCTTCCCTGATGTTATCAAGGTATATTGGAAAGAAAAGAACAGCAATACAATTCTGGAATCCCAGCAGGGAAATACCATGAAGACTAATGACACGTACATGAAATTCAGCTGGCTGACTGTGACTGAAAAGTCAATGGATAAAGAGCACAGATGTATTGTCCAACATGAGAATAATAAAAGAGGGGTTGACCAAGAGATTCTTTTTCCTCCCATAATGAAAGGTAAGTGTATATAAATATAAATGTAACCTCCCAGAACACTTTTTTTCAAAGGGGATACCCCACCTTTTCTATCAAGTATTAGTGAAAAACAAACAAATATAAATCTGTCTTAAATGTTCTTCCATTTATTGGTAGCATAAATGTCCTTTTATATCCCCATAGGATAAAAATGGTATAGGCTTTGGAACATAAAAAAGAAAAAGAAAAATTTCCTTAACTTTTCTTAGCCTGAGTTTTTTCATCAAACATATTAAAGTCACAATGATGTTTTTTAGGGTTGATGTGTGGATTAAATGAAACAACATATGTGAAAGCACCAAGCAACTTAGCACACAGGAAATGCTAGAAAAGAGATTCCCTTTTAACGATCTTCCTTGATCACAAAGGAAGAACAATTATACGTCTTTCAGTAATGTTCTACTCAGCAAGCAAAGTAACTCTCACTTTAATCTTGCTACACACGAAGTATAACCCAAATGCACTGTTATTAGTCAGTAAAATGGTGTTTATTTGAGGGAGCCAGAGAGCGGCTCAGCAAAAAATTGAATAATTTGGCCACTGCAGTTTTATTAGGGTCTTAGGTTTTTCAGATTTGTATTTTACATACCATCTTAAGGTAAACTTTCATCACTAAAGACTGGGTAAGGCTTACATGTACAAAAATGCTTTCATTTGACATGATGAATGTATTTCTTGCCATGGGTTAATACAGCTCAGCAAACACTTACTATAGTACTGGCCTGTGCCAAGCCTGGAAGGGACATGTGGATGAGCACACTAGGGTGAATTACTGTCCCAAGGAGGAGGCACTGTTGTAAGAGAGCATATTCTTTTTCTAATCACTCAGGGTCACTCGTGATTCAGGCATGATGTCCCAAAGGAGTCCCTTTGATGTAGATGCTGTGCATATTTAGACAGCGTGAGCAGAGGGCTGACTGTGCCTTGGTCCCGGCAGAGGTCTTGTCACTCACTAGACTCACGACCTGCCGTCCTGAGTATGAAGACAACAGACCAAAAGCCCAAGAGCACCTATAGATAAGAAGGAATCAGTTTGTACTTTTCCCTGTAGTTAATAAACCCTTTCGAAGCTGTGGGGAGCAAGCGCGTAACAAAACATGTGAAGACGTTTGCTGTGCACCAGTCCCAATTTCTGAAGTCAGTCTTTATCTTCTCAAATCCTTAGTTTCTTCAATGATCAAATTAGGTTTGAACACTTGCCTTGGCTTTCTCCTGGGGCCATGATGAAGAGCAAATGGAATAATGTCAGTGAAAACACTTGCTTTTGAAAACATAACATGATGAATTTATTCACATATTTATTGTAACACTTATATCCTTTCCTAAAATTAACTAAAGTAAGATTACAAAAACAGCTCTAATTTACTATTTCTATTGTTAAGAAATAGAGGGGAAGCAATACGCAAAGCACAAGTTAATATAACCACTGGATCTAAGAGTCTTAGTAGGTTTTGATTTTTCGAGTGTTCAGGGAAAAATAAGAAGTATACTAAGTTCCACGGAGATGATTATCATAGAGAAGTTCCAGTTCATACTGTGTTTTACTTGACATCTATTTTCTGAAACAAATGCCCCCCATGGGCTTCTCAGGGCAACAAAGCTAATGAGGACATTTCTGTTAATGTTATTCTACAGCAAATTTCTAATGCTGTTTCTTGGAAGTTTTTTGTTTTTGGTAAAAGCTAAGAATATAACTTGGAAGAAAAAATCAATAAAGTAATTTTGAAGAAGATGAAACTAGTCTGGTCCAAGTTTTTGACCAACCTTGGTTAAGAAAGAAAACTTAGGATACACACACAGGTTTTATTATGAAAAATTATTACTTTATTGTTTTTACCTCAATTAATGCGTGGTAAGAAGAAATTTTTATTTATCTTTTAATGAATAAGTCACTGTAAGGAAAAGAAAGAGACTTTTAAGACACAGTGAAGTCAGTTCTTGAAGATATTTTAACATCGAAACATGATTATGCTAATGTTTTCATTCGTGGAATTTATTCCAAGTCCGATGTCTCAAACCTGTTTTTAGAGCCACCAAAAAAGACCTAGTTGAGTGCATAGAATTGCTACCAGAACCACATCCATATGGAGAACACATTTAATAGAAAAAGGATAAACCAAAACAATCGTTTAGACTCCATTATCCTCCATCCAACAGTCAATTATCTTTAAAAATATTTTTATCTTCGTATGTTTGCCTTTTTTTTTGTTTTTTACATTATAGATAAGTCTCACCTCAGGTTATATATATTCGGAGAAGTATAAATGTTTCTTGGCCTATCTTCCTATCTTTGGAAAAAATTGCACTGAAATGTTGAGCTCCTGTAATAAAAAGGTCATTTGCTAAGAACATTTAAGATATTTAGAAGAGAGGAAGTTTTTACTGTCTACAATGATGGAATTATGTTTTTTCTCTATAGATTATTTTCTATTTCTATGAATTATTTTTACAAAGTACTTTCCACAAGCTCTATCTTTCTGAATCCACACAACAATCCTTTGAACGCTGGCTCTGCCATCACTGGTATGACTCTCAGCGAGTTACTTATATTCCCATCTTATTTCCTCATTTGTAACACTGAGTCCTCCAAACTACAATTCACTTCATTGTGACTGGAACATTAAAGGAGATAATGCATGTGAAGCATTTAACACAGTGCCTGGTGCAGTAATAAACACTCAAGAGCTGTTAGCTTTTATTCACATCATTGTCATGTCCACAAACACCACAGCTGCAGAAAATCATCTGTACGTGTTGGGGATATTGACACATGCATGCTTCGGAAAGGTATGCCTGATTCCGTTGCGGTCATGGGAAATAGCCTAAACCAGACTCCTTCCAACATGGGATTCTGTTGTGGATTCTGATAGCTGATGAATTTATTTTGGAAGCAACTCTTCGTGTCAGCAACGTATGCTGAAGACTGCAGAGTAGCCACATTTTCTGTTTATTTTTCCATTTGACAAGTATTTCTCCAACACCTCCTTTGATGCAGGCACTGTGCTAGGAGCTGTGAATACAGAAGGAAAACAAGAGAGTCTTGGATATTGTCGTCCCATTGTGATAAAGAAGATAAAATGTATTCTTCGTGAAAGTCAACATCTTCGTGTGTAAAAACACAGTACCTGAGTTAGATCTACTGAATTATATAGAGTCAGATCAACTATTCCTGGAATCACAGGGCTCATATTTTTAATGACTCTCTTCTCTCTGTTGGCAGATTCTGTCTACCTATCTCTCTGTCTGACTGCCTATCTATCTGCACACACACAGACACACATTGTCAAATTATGGATATGAACAATTGACTAATACTTGCTCTCATTTCTTCTAGAGGTCGCTGCTATTGATTCTACAAAAGTTTGTCTGAGAGATGAAAGCAGTAAGTTTTTGTATCTTTGCCTTCATGTCATGCTATAGCAATTTTTCCTCTGGATAGACTTAACTTTTGAACTTCCCTGGTTTAAGGTAGAAAAAGTAAAATGGCTGGATGTTGCAGAATACACTGAGTCATATTTTAAATCAATCTATCATTTCTTAGGAGTCATCTTAACCTCATAAATGCTGGTTTGGGGATGAGATGACTGAATTAGAGGGTGCAGTGATAGGCTCTGAATTATTTCAACAATGGACATCATTCATTTGCATGGCTTTTGTTTCTAATGACTGAGGAATTTGTGATATCAAGGTGCCTCCAGATTTCTTTTTAAGCTTTGATCCATGCTAGCAGCTAATAACATGATCTGACACAGACTGAGAGCTTCCTATACAGAAGGCATTGTGCTGGGTTTTGCATGCATTTTCTTGTTTAATTCTCATAATACTCCTAGGAGGTTGTGCAATATATTTTCCGCATTTTATAGATGAGGACAAGGAGTTAAGATTAATTAAGTCTCTTGCACCACGCCACACAGCTAGATCTGGGATTTTAACCTCGCCACCTGAATCAAGAATTCATACACTTACTCAGTTCTCTCTTCTTCCTCTAAGATATAGTCCTAGAGCAAGAAACCCCAAAGCCTAGGCCCTGAGATATGATGGACACATGGTGGGAGGTGGGTAAGTGCACGGGATTCACAATATTATAGATTGGACTTGAACCCCAGATCTTTCAATGATTATTTGCATCAATATAGGAAAATTACTTACATTTTCTGAGCAACACTTTACTCATCTGCCAACCAGGATAATTAGACCTAACTCAGTTATTGAAGAGATAAGGTCACCTATGTGGGATGTCTAGCATAGAGTATCTCATTTGTCTGTCACAGAATCATTACTAGTTTCTGGCCCTTTCTCCCTACCTACGAACAAAGGAAGTGAATGGAAGCATTGGCTCTAGCCCTTCTGATCTCTCCTCCATTTCTGATATCAAGGGGGCTCTGGACTTCAGCTAACACTTTACCTGAGCAAGGGCAAGGAGTTATGAGCACATCACCTTTGAGATCTATTTCTACACTGAGTGCTAATCATTCTAGAGTTCAGACTCTTGAAGATAAAACATGCAAAAGGGAAATTTTCTCAGGAAGAGACTCAGCCTTGTGGTTCACTGAATAGGTAGTCTGGCTCACTATCATTGTCGTTAGTTATTTCTTGCCAGCATACATTTCTTGCCAAACTTCAAAAGGTATTAAGTGCAATTATCCTCTAACATCACAGGCAAAATGAGACATGTTTAGGAAAGACAGTTGACTGATCCATGGTCTCCTAAATTTTCAGAGAATTTGGATTAACCACTCTCTTCCATTTTATATAATGCCCTCTTTAGTAAAACTTGTCACCCACCCCACTGTGAACACCACCAAATTTCCATGTAGTGTTCCCTTCGTAGTAATCACACTGCATGCACCACGTGTAATGGCTCAGACACTTCTAAATCAGAATTCAATTTTATATTTATGCAGAAGATTTTGATGTCTGGGGTATTTATTGCACTTGGACGTGCAGAATAACAGAGTACCTAAGAATGTATTCTTTAAATTCGTGTTGCTGGGATCAAAATTTGATTTCTGGTGCATACTAAATGTATAATATCAGACAAACTACTTCTCTCTCTGTCCTCAGTTTATTTGTAAAATGGCATGACAATAATACTCTCATAGGTTATTATAAAACTTAAATAAGATTAAAGATTTGCATGCAAAGCTCTCAGAACAAGAGTTTGGCATTTGGTTAGCGGTTAATGAATATTAGCTCTTATTATTATCTAGAGACATGGTGGGGGTGAAGAAACACTGAAAGCTATTTATCACAAATACTTCTTTCTCATTGGACTCTTTCATTAAAAATGCAACATTTTCATATTTTGGAATGTTCTAAGTGAATTTAGGAGAAGTGGTTTATTTATATGACCTCTAAACTGGATTCTGAGCTGTCTTCTTGTTGTTGTCTGTGGTGGTGGTGGGGGTAAATGTTTACTTTTGGGTTTTGGTTGTGCGGGGTGTCACTGCAATGTAGGTCCTCATAAATAAATAACTGTGACCACCCTCCTATTAATATGTCCCATCCTTTCAGAAGAACAGTGAAAACTAATCAAAACACTTCTCTTAGACACCCTGCAGCTGCAGCTCACCAGCACCTCTGCCTATTACACCTACGCCCTCCTCCTCCTCAAGAGCATGATCTACTTTGCCATCATCGCCTTCTGCCTGTTCAGGAGAACAGCAGTCTGTGGCAATGGAAAGAGTTCCTGACAGATGGTGGAAACAAGAAGGCAACTTTTCTCCATTGTTTATTGTCCCTAAAAGTGTCTCATAAAGTGGGCTTTTTCTCTGGGTGTGGGTTATTTCAGTTCACATGTGTGCTTTTCTATTATGTCATTATTGCATCATGGTTTTTCAAACCACCGGGGAAACAAAATTTTATCTGTAACAACGACTTCTGCCATTACTCAGGGACAGGGCTAAGGGGTAGTCCTTTAGCACCACTGTCTCCATGATCTCCATCAGCTCCTCCAGAAACCCAAATAATCACGCCCTCTGAGTACAGACAGCATGCAGCTTCTAGTCACGTCCCTTATGGATCTTTAACCAGACGTCTGCCTTGAAGCCTTCCATTTTACACAGCCTGAAGCCACCATCTTTGCTACTTAAATTCTGTACTTTGCTTTTCATAATAGGCACAATAAAAAAAAAATAAAAATTCTACATTTTTCTATGTGTACCTTATTTTGATAAAATTTAACTGAAAGTCCAGGGTAAGGAAGAGGATGACAACTGAGCTATCAAATCCAGCGTTGGATGTAATAATGGTCAATGCCACAGTTCTAATTCTTTCTCTGAGATAGTGGTTATGATGCTTTCTTTGGGGCACTGGCTCCAAGGGGGCTACAACCAAATGAAGTTTACAGGTTGCTTCTCTTTCAAAGGTCTCCAGATTCAGACTCATTTTGTTTGGGACATTCCGATAGTGTCAGTATAACATCTAGGATGACCTGTACTGCGTGTGATCAGCTCTACACTATTATTTTACAAACACCGTGTTTCCTGTTCCTCACAATAACCCCATGAGACCTTCACTCACACCAAGAGGCATCGCAGTGGAGGGGTTAAGCCCCTGGACTCTGAACCCCGGGTGCCTGTGTTTGAATCCTGGGTCTCGTATTAGCATCTCTGTGACCTCAGGCAAGCTATTTGAACTCTCTGTGCCATAACTTCCTCATCTGTAGAATAGAGTTACAGTGCCCTGTCTCCTGGAGTTATGTGGATTAGATGAGGTAATAGTGCCTGGTACTTGCAAGTCCTCAACAGCATTACCATCCACTGTTGGCAGCTCTACTTTAGAAATAGTAGATACCATACACAGACAAACTCTGACAGTCATCTCTAATTTTATTTCCCCACCGAGTGGTTAGATGTGGATGGAATAGGGACTCAGTGAGTTTCTACTTGCAGCAGGCAGCCTCATTAATCCTCCAAGAGCCCCCTGCAGGTAGGTACAACTATAGTCCACAGTGCATAGATTGGAGAGATTAAATTCTCTGCTCAAGGTCGCTGTTTTGTAAGTAGTAGTCTTTTAAATCCAGGTCCCTCTGAACTCAGAGCCAGTATTTTCTTACCTACTATCAGGTGGCTTTCCCTTCACCCACTGTCAACTGGGAAAAACAAAACATGCACTGCTTGTTTACTAAAGGCATCCTCCAAGAAGTCAGTGAGAATTTTCTTGAGGACTTGTGGGTCCATCTTGTTTTCTCCTCATGTACATACTCTGCCATTGCCATAATTACCCCCTTTGTTATCAACAGTGTGGAAATCCTCCTTTATTCTGTGAGTGTGTATCCTAGATTGGCAACTGTTTTTTGGGGGGCTGCTAATGAAATGGACTGAAAGTCTTGGGCAGAGCAGGCTCTGGGTGTACCATTCTGACACCCCAGCTCTTCCCCTAGACAGAAAGGGCCTGAATGACCTCAGAATCACCTGTGGAAGACTCTGGTTGGTCCAGGTGCATTTCTGAGGTAGGATACAGGTTATACGTAATTTCTGGTTCAGTAATTTCCCACCATAGCTTGACTGCCGTGTGATGTGATGGGAGAAACACTGGCCCACTGGTCACACCTGACACCCCATAGTTAGAGCCTCGGTTCCTTGGTCTTGCTCTAAAGCTGTGTCATTTGTTCTTGACCATGTCACATTGCCTCAATTCACCCAGCTTTAGAAGAAACTCTCCAAATTAAATAATTTCAGGTTTATAGTATAACTTACAAATCCAATGATTAACATCCTAATGAAGTAGTAGCAAATGTTGGTATGTTGCTCACTGGTACTAGTCTAAGTACATGTTAACTTATTTAAGTCTCACAAGAACCCTATGAGATATGTACAATTATCTCTGTTTTATAGATGGGGAAAAAGGCAGATAAGGAATAAAGAATGTCCCCATAACTGGATCGCTGATAAGAAACAGAAGTGAGATTTGAACCCAAGCAGCCTGGCTGCAGGAGCTCTGCTCTTAACTTCTACATTTTTTGCTACTAGAGTAGAAACAAGTTACTTTAGTTTCAATTAAAACAGGAAAATTTCTCTCCTTGTCAGCTAAGAGCTGCTGAAGAGAACTTTACCTGTCCACCCATCCTCTCCTTGCTCCTATGCTGTTCCTACAATTTGAGGGACATTGGCCAACCTCCCACACAATATTCATGCTTGGAAGACTTTTATATGCTGACCTCCCACCCACCAATAGGACTTCCGTGATTCAACTCCATGGCACCTGGTTGGATAAAATGAGTACCGGAACAACAGGTTGTATCCACAGGTGTGCAATGGATAAACTAGGCAAAGATTTACACAATTCCCCATAAAAACACTTGTTTGTCAATGGTCGTTATAGAGCTAGAGTCTCCACACACTTCTCCACTATAACAAAGGGAAACTTCAAGGCAACAATTCTCAAAATTTCCCCATTATGAATTCTCTCTCTTGTTTTGGAATTCTTTTCCTCACACACTTCATTTTTGAAGGCTTTCTGTCAATCAAGCAGGACACAAATAATATTTGATTTACCCCTTTATATTAATCAAAGTCCCATATAACTGCCCATTAGAAAATCTGAGTAATAAGAGATAACCAGAGATACTATACCAAAATGATACAGTTCAACCAAAGGGCTAGAAACTCAACATTTTCGTTACCCATGAAGTGTAACCTGGGTAAATGCATGGACTCTCTCACGTTCTGTTAGGCTATTTTTTTGTTGTTTGCTATCTTTTGCTTCACTTAAATAACAGCACATACCGACAACTTAGTGAGCATCGGGAATTCTGTCAGGCAGTTTGCATGCTCTATGTCTAATGCTCTCAGTGTGCCACACACAGGTATCATGCTCACCTCACCGTGGAGAAGACTAGGTCCCAGAGAGGCTAAGATTATGCCTGAGATTAAAGACGGAGTAGTGCCCGCGTCCACATGACTCCAGGTCTGTCTGACTGAAGCCCTGCTGCTCTATCCCTTATACCAGCGGCTCTCCTCTTGGGAGCCTTTAAAAACCACTGAGGCCCAGACTCCATCACAGGCCAGGCATTGGCCTTTAAAAGCCTCCTTCAGTAATTCTTATGTGCACAGGGTGGAGGCCAGCAAGTGACGGAAAGAGCTCCTGGGTTCCAGTGCTGCTGTCCCAGATCACACGCAGTGAGGAGCCATCACAGAGCCCGTCACACACGTGAGAACCTGCTGCAACCGGGAGAGTCAGCACTCCACCCATCGATTTCCTAAGGAAACGAAGGGTATGTACCAAGATTTATGTGCAAGGATGTTCATTCACTGTAGCACCATTTATAGCAGCACCAAATTAACCCAAATGCCTATAAGAAACTGAAAAATAAACTAAAGGATTTCATATTATTGTCTACTATGCCTCTTCAAAAAATGTAGATTATTTGCAGAAATGGAAAATTAATCAGAAGGTGTCATTGAAAAAATAATATGCATAGCATGACCCTATAAAAATTGTTAGATAATACCTTCACATGGCTCAAAAATCAAAACACTCTAAAAAATGCATTAAGAGATCTTGCTTCAACCACTGTATCCCCCTCTCCCACTTCTTACAGGTCATGTATTTGTTTCATGTGCATCCTTCCAGTTTTAATTTATGCAGTTATGAATGTATATGTGTAAATATATATACATGTATATATATGCTCATTTCCTCCCTTATTACACAGAGGTAGGGAATGATATACCGTAGTCTGCACTTCTCTTTTCCCTTAAACGTCCTAGAGTTCTCTTTATGTCAAGATAGAGGGATATGTAGACAGCTGCATGATATTTCAGGGCGAATGTGCAACACTTTATAAAATCAGTTCCCTGTGATAGACCCTTGGCTCATTTTCAATCTTTTTCTATTATAAGAAAAGCTGAAATTATAATAGTGTTATCTGTCATTTTGAACATGTTTATTTGTCATTTTGATAGGTATTGCCAACTTGCTCACGATAGAGAGAGCACCGTTTTGTACTTCTACCACACTGTCAGTGAATGCCAAGACCATGCCTCAGGACTTTCTAATCTGACAGGTGAAAAATAGGGTCTCATGGTGGTTGTAATTTGCTTTTCTCTTACTAAGAGTGAGGAGAAGCATCTTTTCATATCTTGAAAGTCTACATTTCTTTTTCTGTGGAATATTTCTTCATGTTCTTTGACCATTTTTTCTATTGAGTAATAATACCAACAAGCATGACACTCATTTATATGTGTCTCTGTATTTCTACAGGCATAGGCACAAAACATGCTCAATGTATGGTAAGAGGCTGAGAAAATAAGAGATTGTACATTTTTCTATCTTCTCTAACTAATCCTTTCAAAGTAAAAATTTTTATATATTAAAGATAATGTCTCAATTGAAATTAGGAAATTTTTTTTGTTTCTTTCTTGACAATCAGCCTCAGTTTCTGTGAAAGACTTTCTTTTGGAAACCAAGTAGAGCCTGCCATCTGGAAACAAAATAAGATCCACCAGATACAAGAAAGGTTAAATTTAATTTAGATCTACACCTTCAGTCTCTAGGCCAAAGCCTGGCCCTCTACTTAGAAACTTGGAACTATTTCTACATTGGGAAAGAGTAGAAGCAAAGAGGGGAAACTTGAAAATTACTGAACGCTTTCTGTGGCTGTCTTCACTGCCGGGCACTACTAGGTAGTGTCTCCTGTGGCCTGAAACTTCTTAGCAACTTCCTTCCGCCCTGGGCCTGAGCTGCTCTGAACTAGGCGGTACAGGGAGGGAGAGCACAGGTGGTGGTGGAGGAGACAGCCTGGGTGGCGGGAGGGGGCTGGTGTGGCTGATGGTGTGTTATTTTCTCAGGCTTCTTTTGTTTACATGCTCTGTCAAATGTGGTTGATTCTGGGAAAATGCTCAAA